GAAAAAGTACTCCACGAATGCAGAATTTCTCCCGATACTTGATACAAGAGCTCTTTTGCTTTCTATATTGAGTTCAAAAGTAAAAGGCTACTGAGTTGAACATTAGAAGTCGTAAACCCAAAAATTGGGTTTGCTGTTCAATGACGGTTATAATAAAAAATGAAAAAATTGTTTCACCCTTGGCCGGGATAGCCTGGTTGGTAGGGCACTGGGCCCATGTAAAAGAGTTCGTGGGTTCGATCTCTGCCGACCGAAAACTCCCCGTGTAGTAAATGGTGACTGATGCACGTTAAGTCTGTCGAGTCACAAAGTCCTCCATGGTCCCATAACAAGTCATACCTCTGGGGGTACTGATCCAGGAGTTTCCTTGTCTTCTGGATTGGTTCAAAATTGCAAGGCTGCGGAATTGAACATTGGTAGTCGTAAACCCAAAAATTGGGACGGCTGTTCAGCGACGGTTACAAAATAAAATACAAAAAAAAAATTACGCCTTTGTAATTCACTTATAAAAAAATTCAAAAAATTTCACTGCATTTATTTTTTTACAAAGTAGTGAATTATTATTTTTTTCAATCTAAGAACCTGTGCCTATAGCTTATGTAAAACTTATTTTAATATCGAGTGAAATAATTTAATATGTTGTGTAACTAAATGGATAATCCCAAGAAACTGAATCGAAAACATGAAAACTTAATTGATTTAAAAAAATAATAGATGATAATAAAAATAGACACGTTTTGAGCGTCCAATAATAAAAGTCACAAGTNGCTTTCGTATACGGCGTGTTCCATAAAGACCACCCTTAACGTGTCTTCATATGTTTTGAAGCCAGTTGAGTTTTTATCGTCAATTATACTGTTTTACGTTTGGGTCTTGATCTTTATTTTGATAAGGATTTTACACTCGTTAAAGTCAACATATGCATTTTAATATTTTAACAGGATTCATGTGGTCTTTAAAAACATCAATATTGAGCATCAATATTGTAAAAGCTATATTTAACTTAAAAATTAAAACTTTGAGACCAGATAATTTGAGTTAATGAAATTAAATATTTTATCTTTTAAGTTTTTGTGCCCCCATTTCAGTATCTTTAGGATCTTACGAGCTCTGTTTAAAAAGAGAGTATCAGGTATATTTAAGAAAACAAAAATATTCATAGTAGCAGTATTTGGTCGTTGTTGTTGTTGTTGACGTATGCCTGTTTAGGCAGAGGGGGAGCGATTGTTCTTGTTTTTCAGTGGCGCCATCTATGGCCAAGAATTCGACTTCCGCCATACCAATACGTCGCACCCGTTTATAGGGCGGACCCATTCATACATCCATCCACCGATCGTAATTTTGACCTGAATCAGAGAACGATCGATCTCTAATCCTGTACCCCCCAGAGGTATTGATTTGTTATGGGAACATGGAGTAATTTTGCGATTCGACAGATTTAACGTGCATCAGTCTCTTTTCTACACGGGGAGTCTTCGGTAGGCGGGGTTCGAACCCACGAACTGTCGGACATGGGCCCAGCACCCTACCGACCAGGCTATCCCGGCCCGTAGTTGGTGGCAAATGTAGCTCATTGTAATTGAAGAATATGCTGTGCGACATTTTATGGCGAATTTGCGAACGTAAATTTCAGAATGTATCGAAATATGAGAATGCTATTTGTGCTAATCATCTTTATCCAAAGAAAACCATGCAACCTAAATATCTAGCAGAATGAAGCAATTTTTTAAACAATGAATCATACAATATGCAACATATTATTTCAATATCTTTTTCTTAAACATAACATATTTCAATGTTTTTAAAATGCCTCTAAACATTCAGCAATTCCTTGAGTTATAGAAAAAAGAAATATCGTAAATTATAGAAAACNGAACATGGAGTAATTTTGTGATTCGACAGATTTTACGTGCATCAGTCACTTTTCTACACGGAGAGTCTTCGGTAGGCGGGGTTCGAACCCACGAACTCTTGGACATGGGCCCAGCACCCTACCGACCAGGCTATCCCGGCCCGTAGTTGGTGGTAAATGTAGCTCATTGTAATTGAAGAATATGCTGTGCGACATTTTATGGCGAATTTGCGAACGTAAGTTTCAGAATGTATCGAAATATGAGAATGCTATTTGTGCTAATCATCTTTATCCAAAGAAAACCATGCAACCTAAATATCTAGCAGAATGAAGCGATTTTTTGAACAATCAATCATACAATATGCAAGATATTATTTCAATATCTTTTTCTTAAACATAACATATTTCAATGTTTTTAAAATGCCTCTAAACAGTCAGCAATTCCTTGAGTTATAGAAAAAAGAAATATCGTAAATTATAGAAAACCTTGTGAATGTGCATTAGAATTACTATACAATCTACATTCTATTTTTCAAGCACTTTTTTTTCCTTTAAACTTTCTTGCCTAGAAGACTCGATTAAAGCTGTAAAAATTATTATCCCTAAAATTTTGTATATAGCTATAATAAGTTATGTTAATTTGATTTTAGTATGAAATCCTCGAATAGATATAGCAAAAACAACATAATCTAAATAATATCAGATAAAAAGTTCATGTATATAAATTCTAAAAGCTTAGAAAATCATAAATAATTTATAAATCGATTCAAATTTTCTTTTCAAAGGAGATTAAAAAAGTTTTTTGTTTTTGCTTTTTGGACAGAAATCAGCTTAAAAATTGTCTATTGCCTAGAAACTTTGAGATATTTTCTATTAACAATTAATTAAACCTCTCCGAGCAATCACAGAACATTATTTCAATTTTTTTACAACCAGAGCTTGGTTGCCTAGCAACCTAGTAAAATTAAGTATTCCTCTTCTGAATTAGTCAATAGGTTACCTTAAAATATTCATTTGTGCTGGCGAATTTTTTTGGAGGTTTTCTGGACTATCGCCAAATATATAAACCTTTATTGCGACCGAATTTACGACCCAATTTTTTTAAAATTTTGTCTGATTCAAGTGCCTAGATTCCAAATATGTAAAAAAAAAAAATGTATGTTTATTCAGAGAAAGTAGGTTTTTGTGTCTGATTTCGTAACTTAATTAATAGTTAGCACTAATTAATTAGTATATTTGAGGTTACCCCCAGGAACCATTAAGATTGACACTTAGTTCGTGAAAATCCGATCATTAGAAAGAAAGTTATTCAGGGTGATTTCTTTTTTTTTTTTTTTTCTTTTTTGAGGACTTTACATTTAACAAAACATTTTGATATGTTAATGTGATAACATTTGTGTGATGTGTTAACATTTTGATATGTTATTTTTGTGTGCATCGATTGGCTTTTGAATAATTTAAATGTTCGATATTCTCTTCTGTACCGTTCAGTTTTGTAATAATAAGTTGTAATAGTTCAGTTTTGCAAATAAAGTTATAAGTACATCTTTTGCAACCACGTATTCTATTTAAAGATATCATGCCCCGTTTTGTACAAACTTCGAAATGGTTTTGTCCATTAAATTGTAAAATTCGAATTTTCTTCAAAATGTTACGTAGTATAATTTTACGAACAAAAGGAGGGTTATTTAAATCAGGGGACTCATTGTTAATATATATTGTAAATAAATATAGAGAGACTTTTAAAATTTCTCCTAATAATTCCTCTTTTTTCTAAGATGCTTTTAAAGTGAATATCAGTGAGGTAGAACGCTAATTTCTCCATTTGAGAAAAAGAGTGAGTCTATCTGCTTAAAATATAAAATTCAAGCAAAGTAGCTGAAATTTTTAATGATTTTTCAATTTACAAATTTTAAATTTGCGTCCAAGAAACGAATATTAGCCTAACTTACATTTTAAAAAATTTGCCACAGATGTTTATCTTTTCAGTGCAGAGCTGAAGGCAGATTTTAAACCAAGATCAGCAAAATCTTTTTACGTATGCAACGAATAACCTTTCACACAGATAATTAATTATTGTTTACCTCATATCAGTACGATTTATTTTTGACCTTATAGTTATGAAGTCACAAAAAATTAAGGAGGTAGGGGACCAAATTTCGAAAAGTTTTTTTTTATTTCTCAGGGACAATTTGACTGCTCAAATTTTCTATTTTGCCATTTAAAACTACATTCTTCAAAATGATGAAAAAAATTGTATACCTCACATTTCTAAAGTTTTTCGACTAGTTATATTTTGCCTGAAATTATCTTTATTAAAACGAATTTTACAATTCTATGCAAAATTATTTCAATTTGCTTAAAGGAATTTTATAAATAAAGTGAAATACGCAAAAACTAAAGTTAACATTAAAGGGTAAAAATCTTTAAACCGCGCTTCTGANAAAAATTGTATACCTAACATTTCTAAAGTCTTTCGACTATCATTAAATAAAATATTTAATAAAAGTTATATTTCGCCTGAAATTATCTTTATTAAAACGAATTTTACAATTCTATGCAAAATTATTTCAATTTGCTTAAAAGAATTTTATAGATAAAGTGAAATACGCAAAAACTAAAGTTAACATTAAAGGGTAAAAATCTTTAAACCGCTCTTCTGAACAAACTATTAAAACAATATTTCTGGATTGCGGCTACTATATTTTGGGGGTCAAAAATCCGTCGGGAAAAGGTATGTCTAATCGGAGAAAATACGTTTTTGTGTCTAATTTCTTAATTTATAATACCGTTTAAATTAATTAATTAGTACATTTGACGTCACTCTCTAGAACCATTAAGAATGAGTCCTAGAGCATGTAGATCCGATCTTTAGATCAAAAAATACCGGAGGGTCCATTTTTGTACATTGATTTGAAGTATAATATCAAAAGCATTTTATGTCAGAAGATAAGTTAGCTGGTGGTTATCCACATATTGAAATTATTATAATTGAAGAGCACTTTCTATCTCATACATTAGTTCATTTAAAGCATAGAAAAAATCTGAAAGTGGTTTTCTAAAAGACAAAGAAATTGCATTTTTATATTGTGTAAAAAACTCACTTTTTCTATGTGGAAGAGAAGTTTTTCTTAAAGGAAAAGTCACATAATGTTAAATAATAATTTATTGTCTACATAAAACTTTAATGATTACATTTTGAAACTGCTATATTTCAGTGATCAATCACAATCAATGGCAAGCGAATAGAACTACATTAATTATGTACATTTAAATATAATTTATGCATTAAATTATGACACACGAATTCATAAAATTAAAAGTTACTAAAGCAAAGCAGTGAAGTTAATAAAAAAAATTGTTATATGAATCTATGAAAATTGTTAATCACTTCAATAATTCTGCTTATTTAGTAAGAAATAAATTATCTAAAGTCCTTCTCTGTTCCAATAAAATAGGCTTCATTATATACAATTTGAATTGCAACTTTGTGATATCTTTCCTGGATATTTGTAAAATAAATGTGATTTTTACTATGGAAGACCCTATCTTTTTTTGGAAAATGTTGAAGGTTGTGCAACTACTAAGCGTGTTATTCTTGAAACATATTAACCTGTAAAAAATATATTGGATTAGACATTTTTATTAGTTGAAACACTTAAACTAACAAATAATATTGATAATTACAATCCTAGGCCATATTATTCGACACACTATAAGATTCCACACAAAATCTCAATTATCAGGTGATACTACTATACATTTTTATTGTTTTTAAGCGACTGAAACCGGTTTGCACTTGTTTACGTTCGTGTGTCAATTTGTTAAATTAGACGATTAGACAAATTGGACGATATATTATATAAATATAGAATATTTACTATATCAGGAATTATATTAGTATATTATAACAATTAGACCAAATTATTAGACGCACTGTAGTTTTTAATAGATTCATGTTTTGCGCGATGATATTTAATATTTAAACATAGATGTAATGGGTTTTTATTCAAGAGATTTTTTATATACATGCTTCCTATTGCATCGCAATGTTAACCAATTGATACACGAATGTAAACAAATGCAAACCGGTTTAAGCGGCTTAAAAACAATATAGCTGCACAATATCAACTGATAATGAAGATTTTACATAGAATAATTTGTCCAGGGAGTGTATAATAATATTGATATTGTCCGCATACTTACTGGATTTAGGCTTATTCTTTTCTGGACCTGTAACATAAATTTCATTATTTCAAAATATGGTTCTAATTAACAACAAATGATTGAAACAAAACTAGTCTAAATTTCAAGAAACAAATAAGCGCTGACGCAATGCGGAAACAATCGAATACTTTGTGGAAGTCTTCAAGATATTCTAATATTATTACGCAACCTTTTTGTCACATTTAGGAATGCTACTTGCCAGTGTCGCCGGAATCACTACTACGTCCAGTATTTGATATGCCCGATCAAATTCGTTTCTACTTTAGGATTCACTATTTTCCTAATAGATGGCATTAGTGGTGTACTAGTTTTTCACCCATTACGACTTTAGTCGAGGGAGGGAAAATGTGGGTGTTGTCATGTTGTGGGTGCTCAGACACAAACAAGATTTGTAAAAGTTATATATTAAAATTTTTATTGTTGTGTTTCAATATTATATATTAGTTATATTATATTTAGTTTCAAATTTTGTTTCATTTGCTCTAATTGAATAAGACGTGTAATCCGTTACTTTTTTTAGGTGTATGTAAAAACTATAAATACAGTAATTATTGAACTTAAAATTTTATTTTTGCAATAAAAAACCATTTTCTAACTTTTATAATAATATAAAGAACAAAATTAAAGAGTCAAAAATATTTTCCATTTTTCTGAAATATATAGATTATTATCCTGTTAAATGGGGCAGGTTGGCTCATTTCAATTAGAGATGGATATCCGGAAATTACCTGGTTATTAACCAGACCCAGCAAAAGAATTTAACTACCCGGTCCTATTTTACACTGAGAAAAATAAGTATGGTCATAGTTACCAGAAGATGCTAAAATTTACCATGTTTAATTTACTTTTCAATTTTGTATTTTTTACTAAATGTGAGTTAATAAGAACTATAATTTGGAAAATTTGAATTTTCGCAGTTACCATACTAATGAAAATGTTTTCCAATCAATGGTTTAAATACCGTATATTTTGGTTTTATTAATCAGAATTATATATATATATAGTTCAAAATGAAGATAAAACAAAGGAAAATAACAGACATATGAAAAAAAAGGGGGGGGGGAAGACAAATGATAATAAATAATAAATAAAAAATAACTGGAGAAAAACAAAAAAAAATTTTTTTTTTAAAAATCCGGAAAATAACAGATATAATCTTTTTATCAGCCCACACGATTATATACGCAAAGAAGGGTGCTTTCTGATATTGTATCAATATAGCCAAAGCAAAATATATTAATACAATATTGTGAGGAGCACTCGAAAAAATTCTTTACAAAAATTGCAACAAACAAAATAGAACACAATAAGTAAAAATAACACGTAAAAACAGAAAATAAAATAAAATAAAAAGAAAAAAAAAAGAAAAAGCAGAATAAAACAAAATCAATGAAGCGAGTAGCGAATTCAAATGTACTTACATAAACGGGAANAAAGCACTCTTTTTTGCGGATATAATCGTGTGGGCTGATAAAAAGATTAAAAGGAAAAAAGGATGAAATTTTAAAAAAATCCGGAAAATAAAAGATATAATCTTTTCATCAGCCCACACGATTATATACGCAAAGAAGAGTGCTTTCTGATTTTGTATCAATATAGCCAAGCAAAATACATTAATACAATAGTGAGAGGAGCACTCAAAAAAATTTTTTACGAAAATTGCAACAAATAAAATAGAACACAATAAGTAAAAATAACACGTAAAAACAGAAAATAAAATAAAATAAAAAGAAAAAAAAAGAAAAAGCAGAATAAAACAAAATCAATGAAGCGAGTAGCGGATTCAAATGTACTTACATAAACCGGAAATTTTTCAAGAATGATTTAAAAAATATTTTCGTAACAAGATTGCCAGATTGCGAAATATGAAAGCAAAAGCGCAAATTGAGCGTAACTAGAGGAGTTTTGATTTAAAGTGCCATTCCTACTGCATTGTTGAAGTGCGTTTGATTTGTTAGTGACGAAGGATGGGCCCGAAATGGATGTGCGCAAAGTAATATTATACTGGATAATTTAAAGAAGTTGACCATAAATAATTTCAGAAAATAAATATTTATTTAAGAAAAAAATATAAAATAGAAAAGAGAAACATGAATGTTCTCTTTCCTGTTTTGCACATAATTTTAGCCCCGGATTTTGTCCGAAATGGATTTGCACATGGAAAAATTATATAAATTTTTCCATGAGCAAATCCATGTGCAATCCAAAAAATTTTAAAAAATTATATAAAGAACTTGGATAGTGTCGATGAATCATCCAATTTCTCGGATTCAAGAACTTGGGCCGTGTAAACAGTCCTTAAATGTCATAAATAGAATAATTAAAAATAATAGAAGAAGGAAATGAATAGAAACAATAAAGTCGTAAAATAGTTAAGAATAATTTTTTAAATGAGCGAAGTTTGTTATTGAGTTAGTTGATGAGACCTTTTATTCCTCGGTTATGGTACATAGGGACATCTCCAGTGTGGTCAAATGGTTGATTTTCCTGATATTCTCTAAGGCTGTCCACAAGAGCGGCTGATACAATTTCTGAAGAAGAAAAAACATTTCAAAACAATCATTCATCTTTATTTGTTGATAAATAAAGTTTCAAATTATTATTATTCAGTGTCATATGATATCCATCTAAAAGAGGCATTCAGTCACGGACAAAGGGCGCGAACATATTAAAGTTATTATTTTCATATAAAAAGATTTTTTCCAGGTAAATATTTGGATCAAAATAATTCATGATGAATAAAATATGATTTTTCAATTTTAATTATGTTTTAGACGTTTAATGAATTGAATGAAGTTTTAGATCATAAAAACTTAAATATGTTTTTATTTTCAGCGACGAAACACACGCAAAAGATAAGAAAAAATTCAGTTGCAATGGTATACAATGAGTAATAAAAAAAGAACGTCATTGCAACAGTAAAAAAGTTTAGTATATTTTTTTTAAACAACAGTAAAATACATTAAAAATATCAAGGTCTTAAGCAAGTTTGTTAAAAATGTCATAAAATCTATAAAAAGAAGAACATTTTACTTAATTGCATTGACAAAATGAGTCTACAAATAATTTTTCCTTTCATAAAGTGTGATTTTTAACAGAAAACTGAATTACACTGAAAATATCAGAGCAAACATTCAATACATTAAGAATGATTAGAATGATTAAGATCATCGGAACCACACCTAGAATTTATGAAAATATAAATACATTAAGAATGATTAGGATCATCTGAACCACACCTGGAATTTATGAAAATATCAATACATTAAGCATGATTAGGCTCATCTGAACTCAACCTGGAATTTATGAAAATATCAATACCTTAAGAACGATTAGAATTATTAGGATCATCTGAACCACACCTGGAATTTATGAAAATATAAATACATTAAAAACGATTAGAATCATTAGGATCATCTGAACCACACCAGGAATTTGTGAAAATAAAAATACATTAAAAACGAGAGTGATTCGGACCACACCTTTAATTTATGAAAATATAAATGCAATAAAAATGATTCTAATGTTTGGGATGATCTGAACCACACCTAGAATTTATGAAAATATAAATACATTAAAAATGATTAGAATGATTAGAATCATCCGAACCACACCTGAAATTTATGAAAATATAAATACATTAAAAACGATTAGAATGATTTGGATCATCTGAACCACACCAGGAATATATGAAAATACAAATGCATTAAAAATTATTAGACTCATTAGGATCCTCTGAACCACACCTGGAATTTATAAAAATATCAATACATTAAGAATAATTAGGATCATCTGAATCCAACTTGGAATTTATGAAAATGTCAATACATTAAGAACGATTGGAATGATTAAGATCATCTGAACCACACCTGGAATTTACGAAAATAGAAATACATTAAGAACGATTAGAATGTTTAAGATCATCTGAACCACGCCAGGAGTTTTAGAAAATATAAATACATTGAAAACGATTATAATGTTTAGGATCATCTGAACCGCACCTAGAATTTATGAAATATGAATATATTAAGGATGATTAGAATCATCCGAACCGTACCTGAAATTTATGAAAATATAAATACATTAAGAGTGATTAAAATGACTAGGATCATCTGAACCACACCTGGAACTTATGAAAATATCAATACATTAAGAATGATTAGGATTATCTGAACCCAACCTGGAATTTATGAAAATATCAATACAATAAGAACGATTAAAATCATCTGTACCACGCCTGGAATTTATGAAAATACAAATACATTAAGAATGATTACATTGATTAAGATCATCTGAACTACACCTGGAATTTATGCAAATATAAATACATTGAAAACTATTACAATGATTAGAATCATCCGAAACACACCCGAAATTTATGAAAATATAAATACATTAGAAACGAATAGAATGATTTGGATTATCTGAACCACACCTGAAATTTATGAAAATACAAATACATTAAAAATTATTAGACTCATTAGGATCCTCTGAACCACACCTGGAATTTAGAAAAATACAAATACATTAAAAATGATTAGATTCACTAGGATCATCTGAACCACACTTGGAATTTATGAAAATATCAATGCATTAAGAACGATTAGAGTGATTAGGATCATCTGAACCACGCATAGAATTTATGAAAATATCAATACATTAAGAATGATTAGAACATAAAATTATTTCTATCAAAATTACCTAACACTTTCTCCTTCATGGCAGGAGAAATTCTTTTATTTCCAACTTCATTCTCCAAAAATGTAACAAGTCCAGATAAAGTTTCCTCCGCAGTGGGATCATCTAAAATAATAGTATTATTCTAGAGTCTGAGTTATTCAGAACAGCATTAATTAGCAACGAGCGAATAATTGTTAATAACCTTTTCTACTAATGATTAGATTTTCTAAATGGTTCAAAAGCGTGATCTTGACTAAGCTATTAAGTTGCAGAAATAGAACTTAAATCAACAGTAGTAAAATTCTGAAAATAGTTTCGGTGTGAGTGCTGTCGAAAATTTGTCTTTTTTAATGTTAATTTCACTTTCTGCTCAGAAAGTTTTAAAGTGAATCGAAAAAGCTTTGCACGGAATTATAAAATTCATTTATACAAAGATAAGCCCTTACAAAAAAAAAATCAGTTGCTATTTATTGTTATTTTATTTAATGAGGGTCCAAAATATACTGAGCTTTAAGGTCTACAAATTTTTACAACGTTTTAAATTATGTAGTTTTAAATGAGGAAAATCTGTTGGATAGTTTTTTTTTGCTTATGAATTTTCTAAAAAGCAATATTTTTAAAATTCTATTTCGCAAAAACAATTTGACAGATTTCATTCAATTTGTGTTTTGTCCTTTATAATTACAAAGCTAAAATTATGTAAAAATTTCCATACCTTGAGATTCAAAAAACTTTTCGACCCTCATTGCATTCATATACAAGTATAAAAAACTATTAAAATTTAATTTTTAAATGGAATTATTTTAGAATAAGCTAGATATATATAGATAATTGGGGGCAAGATATCTAAATTAGCATTAATAAACCCAAGTTTCCAACAGATATTGAAAAGTCGCTTATTCACAAAGATTTCCCGTAGTTGGAAAAAAATCATATGTTTGTCTTATAAATTTCGTCAAATTATTTGAAGACTATATTTTTCATTCGAATAAAAACTATTATGAAGTTAACATATTTTACATTTGATTATAAATTTAACAAAAATTAAAAAAAAAGCGTTAGGAGGAAAAACCCACCTAATGTAACAAAAAATTTCCATAAGCAGGATACCGTCTCTTCGAATAGTAACAGTTATATTTATGAAATTGATGTAGTTATGACCCAATGTTTATTCTTGACAAGGATTCAAAAAATATGTAAGGTTGATATTACGGAACACTGTGCTTATTCTTAGAATAAGCGAAAAATTTAAAGTGATACATTTTGATCCTCAACCAATATTATATATATATATTAGAAACAATAAAATCGTAANGAAACTATGTGAAACTATCCGAAACTATGCGAAACTTATATATATATTGTAAACTTCAAGAATGGAATTTCCAGTATGTTGATAGGCAATCAAGGGAAAGAATTGATAACAGCTCAAAGAAAGAAGTATTACTAAATACATGGGAGCCGGTATAGCCTGGTTGGTAGGGCACTGGGCCCATGTCCAAGAGATCGTGGGTTCGATCCCCGCCGGCCGAAGACTGATGCGCACGTTAAATCTGTCGACTCACAAAGTTGTCCATGTTCCCATAACAAATTATACCTCTTGGAGTGCTGATCCAGGAGTTCCTTGTCTTCTGGATTGGTTCAAAATGACAAGGCTTCGGAGTTGAACATTGCTAGTCGTAAACCCAAAATTGGGTCGGCTGTTCAACGGCGGTTATAAAATAAAATATTAAATACGTGGTTAGTTTAAAATGAATAAATCATATAAAATATCGTTATTAGAGATCAAAATTCATTAAATGTGAGATTCAAAATAACTTTCTTTCGAGTGCCTTGTGAGCACAAAATGAGATCAGTGTGACTCGAAGGTGTGTCTAAAAACTACAAAAAAAGAAAAACCTTTACAATGCTTTGAGTAAAAATATTCTTAACTAGCGTATCATTTAAATTAAAGCCATCAGTTGGTCTTGTGAAACTTTATCTCCTGGAGTCATTTTCGAGTTGCCTGGTTAACATTATAGGTAAGTTTTGAACCATTTCTGGTTCAAAAATGTATGTGTTGAGAAAATCTACCTCTTAAAATGCTTTGGGTAAACATGTCCTTAGCAAGCTTGTATATAACATCCAAGGTGAAACCATAAGATGGTCTTTTGAAATCTTCTTCCGTTTTTACTGTAGTACTCACAACAGTAGGTTGTTTTGGTTCGGAAGTCGAAGCTATGACAGCAGGATGTGCGGTGGTGACTTCTCTTTTTATTTCTTGTAGAGAGTTGAGGAATAACTAAAAATATTAAATAGATATTTGATTATTAAGAAATCAAATATTTTATATAAGTGTTGTTTAAAAATGACAGTGAACTAGAGTATTGAAGATAAATACTTTGCACTCGTTATCATGCTTTTCAGTACAGTATTAACTAAGCCGATGTGACAGTGAACAGGCCGAAAGTGATAGTGAACTAGAGGTGAGATAGATATTTTGCATACTACATATACTAGTGGTTCTGCTGTTCACCCTTAGTTTACAGTACCCTATTGGAAAAAATTCCCGGTATAGAAGAATTATACCGGTTTATAGGACACCGTCTCCGGTATGATACTGGATCTGTTATTATACCTAAACTGTTGTTCCATTAGCTGGTATCACACTAGAGCCAGAATGTACTGGTACTAGTGTACGCACCCAGTTTACTGGGATGGTGTTTTAAAAACCAGTTTATTTTTAACACAACTACAGTGTGGTACTACTGTTTGATACAGGAGCATTAGAGAAAAGCTCTGAATGGGAAAATAAAACGTTAATACAATTGAGTAAATAAGTAAAGTCACCTGGTTTATACAGAGTAATAATACACTGACACCAATTCATACTTTATCAAAACCTATCGTTTGCATTATATTTATAAAATCAAATTAACTGTTTTTTCTTAAACTTCTTTATAGTTAATTAAAAAAATTTAACAATAAATTAAAATATTATTAGAAATTCTACTATACTACACACTGTATATATCTGGGTATGTCGTAATAATTGAGTCCTTCTCAAAAATCAAGTCGCAAAATATATAAAAAATAGGTCGCAAATTGATTTTTAAGAGAGAAAAAAAACACTTTAAAAATCTGATGAATCACTGTTGAGGAAAGTAGAAATAAATTCCGTTGGAATACCAGAGGAAACTAAGAAGAGAGGGCGATTATTGGAAACACCTATTAGGCAATCAAAATGGTTTTGATACTTTTACTCCCTCATTCCTCAGTTATGATTCGTCAGATTTAGAGAGATTTTGCAAAGTGTTTATCCTTCGTTACCCGTACCTCAAACCTTATTTTTTATACCATAGCGATGGACGTGAAGGGAAATTTCACGCTTGCGCTGTGAACCTCAATTTGCAACCGCTAATGTGCAGACCTTTTAGTACAAGAAAGGATTCCAAAAAAAATTTTTTTTGGGGTGGAAGTTACGAAATACTCTGTATTATTCAACAAATTTATCTAGAAAAATACGTAACAAAAATTTACTTGTTTTGTGATTTTTTTTCTCATGTCACTTAATATTTGTTTGACATCTTGCAAGTAGTTGATAGCATCCGTTCTTCCCATCTAGTAAAAAAAAATGCTTTTTATTTTCAATGCACTTTATAAATGCCTTGAGCGTGGCTGGCTACTTCTAACATTTAAGAGATTTTTACCATTCCTTCTCGTACTAATTCCTCAACTGCAACTGCAACTCCTTCTTCATCGCCTGTGTTAAAAACATATTCTGCAAGATCTGCCGGTGAATACTGAATTCCTGCACCATTTACCTAAAAATTTCAACATGATAGCATTTTAAGAAGAATAGTTAGTATCCAATGATAATGATTTTTATTTATGCCATGTAATGTCATTGGGATTTATGACATTATTTGGTATAAATAAAAATGACATTTTTATGTTTTAAGTCAATTTTAAATTCATTTTGACGTATCCCAATGACATTATTATACCAATAATGTCTTTGGGATATTGATGACATCATTTGACAATAAAAGTCATTGTCATATAATGTCATCAATAAGAAATCTCATTGGGAATGCTGAACTATTTGTTTTTGCTCTGACACATTTTGCGTTCCTTTATCCACTTCGTGTTTTTTACTTTTCTACATATTTTAAAATACTTGATTTATTGTTTTAAATTTACACGTCATCGATATTTTATAATGTGCGATCTTTATTAATTTTACTTTACAGTAATTTTGTAGTGTTTGGTTCTCTCTCAGGTGGCAACGGGTTGAACCCCGAAAACTCCTCCGGGGGTATCTTATATCAAATAATGTGCTTCATTTTGTATTTTCCAGATATTAATTTTAAAACACATGACTATTATTTTAATCTCAGTTTTATATTATTTTTGTGCCTGTTTCAAATATACTGTTCGAACAAAAAAAATTTCTAACACACCCTAAAATTCACAATTTGGTTTCGAAAAATATTACTTTTGTAAATTTTAACAAAAGATGCCGTGATGGCACAGGTGATAGAACTTTCACCTTCCACTGAGGTGAACCAGGTTCGAATCCCAACGATGGCTGGTCGATACGAATTCCATATCCGGCTTGCACCGATCAAAGTGTTGACGTAAAATATTCTCAGTGGTAGACATCCAGTAGACATGGGTTAGAGTCCCCTTGCCATCAGGCTAACCATGGGAGGTTTTCGTGATTTTCCTTTCCATGTAACGCGAACGCAGATTAGTTCCATCAAAAAGTCCTCCACAAAGGCAAAATTTCTCCCAATAGTTGAATTCCCTTGTCTTCTAGATAGGGTTCAGAATTACAAGGCTACGGAGTTGAACATTGGTAGTCGTAAACACAAAAATTGTGTCGGCTGTTCAACGACGGTTATAAAAAAAAAATTGTTTTCTAACCAAGATATTAAAAAAAAGAAAATACGCTAAGCATTTAAGCATTTGTTAAATGTAAAAAAACAAAGACTAAAGGGGAATGAAATTTTCGCTGAATTTTGCTGTCCACTCAAATAGAACTAATTTTTTTTTTTTTAAATTGGAATTATTAATAAAATTTGGGTGAGTTGTTTCCAGGACTAAAGAGAATAGAAGGGCTGGTTCCCTCCTTTGTAGTAACTCTCGCCGCGCCAATCCTCCGATTTTCTCTAGTGACGTCACTTTGGCGCAAAGCTCGCACTTTTACTTCAAGAACAGAGCTTTCGGCCTTACTAGCTCTAACTAATATTGGAGCATTTCTTGTTGCGACATATTCTAAGACATTTGTTATTTTCTACAATGACTTTCCTCAGTTTTTGCCGTGAATTTACAAAATTTTAAAACTATTAACGAAATGCCAGTTTGCGCGATTGCAACTTGCAAAAATTCTGATAGAAAAACAAAAGGAAAAAATATAATTTTCCGCGTGTTCCCTAAAGTAAATGAACAACTATGTAAAGAATGGATTCCGAAATGACACAGTTAATATAAAACAGCAATACGTTTATTCTGTCGTTAAGAACTTTTATAAAAATTCATTATCTAAATAGAAACCGCCTCGTTACTTCAAAAAGAAAGGCAGGTGAAAAAAATTAAAAAATGGATAAAGTCAAAGAAAATTAAAATGTAAATAAAAAGTATAAATAAAATATATAGTATATAGTTGAAATTCTCCTAATTTCATAACATATTTTTTAATGTAGTTATTCTAAATATTTATGATTTTTTTTAAAAATTATATTCTCTTCAATTTAAATATCTATAAATTATATCATCGTAAATTTAAATGTCTATAAACAATTGTAAAATTTCTAATGTCATTATGAACCTAAATTATTATTTTGTTTCAGTAATTAGCGTTTAAGGTTGATGTTTCCTAATGATTAAGTATGAACAAATTGCTATTAACGACATATTTTAAAATCAGGGATTCTAAATTTAACTTAACTTATCGTTATAAAAGAATATGTAGATAAAAAAAGTGTCGATATATGCCTTCATTTTTCTTAATAGTTAAAGTTAAAACTGAACTTTTTAAAATAAAGTATTTATCGTGTCATTTTCACCAACTAGCAAAACATTTTTATAAGTTTAAAATGGTATTTTTTTAATATAATAACCAAGAAAGTTTTTTTTGAACTATGTTTATGAACGGAAATAATGTGTTAATTACGTAAAGTTTGAAAGCTAATAACCAGAAAAAGTCTAACTTATTTTTACAAAGAGAAAGATGCAAAGTTATCATAATATCTTTGCGTGCGATCGTCCGAGATCTGTGGACACAGTGACGTCATGAGGAGGGAAATCGTAGCTTCAGTTCTATAAGAGCGGAGTGAACTAGCCCTTCTATTCTCTTTAGCCCTGGTTGTTTCACGCATTATAAAGCAAAACAGATTTTAACTAAACAAAAATCAAAGGTTGATTTAATGACTGAAGAAACAGAAAAGTTTCTTTTTTACCTACATTAAAATATGTAATAAATAGGGTTAAACTAAAATTTTAATTTTAAGCACTGGTAGAAAGTTGTACGTAAGCTAATTTAATGATTTTACGATAGTCACAGACCTTTAAAATATTTTTTGCAAATTGTTTAAGACTTTTAATATAAATTGTGTCAGAAATTAAGAGAATTTGCAGACTTGGTCGACTATCTCTAGAACTACTGGACAGATTTTAATGAAATTTGATTTGTACATACATTGATACAAAACAAAACAAATAACCATTCAACAATTGTAATACACATGCATGATCGTGCGTGACACTCGTTGGAGTCGGAAGGTATGAAATTTCCACAGGAAATGATAAACTGCCTTATTTCAAGTTTGAAATTACACTGCAAGGCCTGTATATCTATAAGAGGGGACCATACCCCCTATTAAACCATTTTTTTGTTTATTCTGTAACCGCTGTTTCATACTTTCCGACTCCAACGAGTGTTATGCATGATCATACGTGTGTATTAGAATTAGTGAGTGGTTATTTGTTTTGTATTGAATCAATGTATGTACAGTGCAAAAAAAAAAGAAAGAAAAAAAAACGAATCATCCTGAATAACTGTCGTTCTAATGATCGGATTTTCACGAACTAAGTGTCAATCTTAATGGTTCCGAACTCAGTCTTAATGNTATTAATTAAGTTACGAAATCAGACACAAAAACGTACTTTCTCTGAATAAACATATATTTTTTTTAACATATTTGGAATCTAGACACTTGAATTGGGGGGGGTAGACAAAATTTTAAAAAAATTGGGTCGTAAATTGGGTTGCAATAAAAATTCATATATTTGGCGATAGTCCAGAAAACCGCCAAAAAAGTCGCCTGCGCAAATGAATATTTTAAGATAACCTATTGATTAATTCGAAAGAGGAATGCTTATTTTTACTAGGTTGCTAGGCAACCAAGCTCTGACTTAGCTCTGACAACCAAGTATGACTTAGCAACCAAGCTCTGACAGACAATAATTCTTTTTAAAAAAAAAAACTTGACTATAATTTAAAAAGGAACTTTACTTTAAAGAGAACCTAAATTAAAGTACTAAAAAAATTGATTAGTATATTAATGAAGAAATAACAAACGTAAAAAGGTTTCGAATAAGATTTTTAAAAATGTTAAAATTTAATTAAATAGTTGGTAAAATAGTTCTGCGAAACACTTCCGGAAATTTCTTTTAAGATTAAGACGATATAGGGTAAACCAACCAATGAAGAAACACACCCCAGTGAAGGAACATTTCATAGATATTTTTTAAAAATAAGATTTTAAACGTTTTAATTTAGATTGATTGGTAACAGTAGCTTACAACCTAACAATAGGAAGTCATCTAACAATGCATTGAGTTACCTGGTCTTTGAGCCTTCTCTGGAAAAAGTTTTGAATTAATTAGTATCTGTTCAAGCCTTGTTTCCTTGACAAAATTATAAGGTCAGTGTTTGTAGAGTTTAAAATACAATTAATTGCATATAATAGCTTTGTTTTCTCATTGTGAAAAAAAGAATTCGAAATATTGTTATTGAAGTTTCGTTTTATTTAATTTAAGCATCATAACATAAGCAAGTACTGAAATTAGGGGGTGTTTATTAAATGATTACCAAACGATGAAAAACCAATGAATAAACAAGTGTTCCTTTTGTGGGATTTTTTCAAATTAATGAAAATAAAATTTAAATTTTCTTGTACCTTTTGTCATATTATGTTTAAAATAGAAAAAACAACTTCACTGGGAGTCCTAGTAAATGTGAACATGGATAATTAGTAGTTCGTCGACATAGAGGATTCCTAAAATTCAGTTAAATGTTGTATGTTCCTATAACAATTTCATTTCAAAATTCAAATTTAATTGATAAATATATTTAAAGAATTATAATTTATTTATCTTTAGAAATGTAGTTATTACATCATACCTTAGACACTTTAATAAACTATGTTTACTGACTAAATATAACAACGAAATATAACAACGAAATATAATAAAAAAAGCTTGAATGGAAAATTTATTTGCAGACTTTTGTGCCAATAATTAGCTAAATTATTATCTTATTGCGGTCTTTAATGTCCTGACGGGAACTGGTAGGAAAAATCCATTTAAAGACAATCATCCAGGTGAAAAATGGGTGAAGATTTTTTTAAGGCGACATCCACCGATAACTCAGTGCATTGCGAAGATAATTTCAAAAGGCAAAACTTCCTTTAGAGAATAATATTCGAAATACTGGTTTTAAGAACTTTAGAAGAATCTTTAGGAGGGAAGCTGCCCTGGCATCTTTTTAGAAAGTGATTGCATTTGCAATGCGAACGAAACAAGAGTTGAATACTGCCCTGAAACGGGAAAAATCTTTGGCTCTAAAAATCATAAGGGTTTATATTCTATAGTACCAAGGAAAAAAAAGAAAGAACAACAGTTTTGGCCAACATTTTAGCTAATGGAAAAAAAGTACCTGAATTGGTAGTTTTTCCTTACTGAAGAATTCTTTGAGGTATTGCAGAATCAGTTCCTGCTACGCATTTCATTGGAATAAGCGATTCATGAAGTGAAACGATGACAGCAGCAACATTTTACAAATCAATTGCAAATATTTCTACTCATGGCTAATTGAAAATGCTATCAAATTCCATATTTTGCTTCTTCTGGATAAGTATAAATCTCATATCAATTTGAAACTAAGCAAAAATTTTTTCATCAAAGCTAATTCTTTGGTTTAGCTTTCTCCATAATTCATGGAAATCTCTCGTTAGATCTTGAAAACAAAACAATTGTAAAACAATATGTCGAGAAAATTTTACATCCATTTTTAAATAAGATTTTGAGGCAACGACTGATGAAGTTAAAATGCTTTCATGAAATGCGATATTTTTCCATTCGATGTAGAAAACGTTGACTTTAACAAATGCATGCAAAACAGACACCAAGTGTTAAAGAGCAAGACAGCTTATCAGCAAAACACTTGCTTCGAGAATAACGATGCACTATTTCTTCAGAAGCTTTAGAAGGAAATCTCACAAGTTATGTTGCAAATTTTTAAAGGAACATTGACACAAAAGTTTAATCTCCCAAATATCCAATAGCCTGTGCCTTTCTCAATATTGAAGAATTCATTTCAAAAAGAACATTTGGTTAATCAAATTTTGGCACTGAAGCTGATACAACTAACATTGATAATGAAAATATCTTGAAAACCGATTTTGAGATAAGTCCTCTTGAGGCATTGTTGGTTGCAAAAACTATTGGTTTCATAAGTAAATGGTAAGTACTGCTGAAGACCCACTAGATATAAGTCAATGAGAGATGGATTTTAATCAAACTTCGAAACTCCTTTTTCTCATTTGTTATCCAGTGAGGAATTCTAGAAATGGTGCTGGAAAATCAAAAGAAATTTTGAAGATATGCTTACATTGGTCAAAAATTTGGAAAAAAGAGGAAGGTTAAATCAAAAGAAAAGGAAATAAAATATTTTCTTGCATTAACTTCAGAAAAAGAGCGAAAATTTAAAGAGATTGAAAGAGCTGAAAAAAAAGTTAAAGCTGAAAGTATGACGAAGAGAAAAAAAATATACTTAAAAAGATAAAAAAAAAGCTTCAAAAAATATGGGGAAGAGAGTAAACAAAGAATTGATCGAATTATAATAATAATGAAAACATCATCGGATTACACAAAGATAAACATTCATAATTTGGAGACTGTGAGAAAAAAAATGAAAAACATTATTTTTAAAATTATGTATTCAAACGTATTTTACTTTCCATTCCATGACTGAAAAAAGTAACATTTTCTACGTTAACTGTGGTTATATGTTGCAATTCCAAGAAAAATCTTGTTTTTAGACATTTGTGTGGCCTATGGATTTCTAACGAGCATCAAACATTCTCAAAATTAAGTGTTCATTCACTGGAAAATTTAGTGATTATTCACTGGTAAGAACTGTTCTTTCACTTGGTTATCTTACTACTTATTATTTAAACCACCAAAAGCTTAAAACAATATTACGTAAGTTATCTAAATTTTTTTTACATAATTTGCGTTTAATAACAAATATGTCGACACCATCGTCTAGCTAAAATTACAAATTTTGAAATTTTTATGTATTTTTTTAAAAGCAAGCTAAGCTTAAGTGTTCCTTTACCGGTTAGTTTACCCAATAAGGTGCTGAGAAATTTACGATGTTGTGAGAGATGCTTAAAAATGTTGACTCCGTATTTTTATTAATATTTATAAAATATATATTCAAGAAATTGATAAATATATTATTCCAAATCTATGCATTCGTATGCATATTATTGAAATTGTATCAGTTATTGAAAAGCAAAATCAAAAAATCATCACATTAAATAAGCTCAATCTGGTGTATAATCATATTTTATCAAAAGCACGCTTTTATAAAACTAGGCATTCGTTGAATAAACTGTTTTTTATTCAAAATGTTTTATTCAAATTTCTTTACTAAATTTCAAATAAATTATTAAACGACTCAAAAAGCAACATCGCATTTTATAGTTCGAAAGAAATAAAAAGATTAGCAAATGATTATTAGCGAAAAAAATATGAATGAAATTTTACGCTATGCACGCGAAGTCAAGCTCCTCGCAAGTTTATCACATTTTAATATTAATCGCCCCATTTAATTACTTCTTTATTGTCGCGAAATTATTTTTTAAAAAAATAATAAATTTTAATTTTTCTCAGCTTCTATTAAATAAAAACAGTTGAAACTTTAGATTTTTCAATTGAAAAATATGTAGAAAGAAAATTCATACCTTATAATTCAAAATTTTTTCATCCTCAATTTAATTAAATAATAAAAAATAATTAATAATTATTAAAAATTATCTTTTTCATGAAATTATCTTTGGATAAATGAGTTTTATGAGTGGGTGCAATTTTCTTTGAATTGGTTTATTAGATTTAAAAATATGACTTAAAAACGTAAAAAGTGAAATTAACTTTAAGGGGTACGAATTTTAGATCGCTCTCCTGACCAAACTATGGGGACCATATCTCCCAGATTGCGGCTACCCCCTATATTTTGAAGGTTAAGAATCCAAATATGTAAAGAAAAGAATGTATGTTCACCCAGAGAAAGCTCGTTTTTGTGTCTGATTTCGTAACTTAATTAATAGTTAGCACTAATTAATTAGCATGTTTGAGGTCACCCCCAGGAGCCATTAAGATTGACACTTAGTTCGTGAAAATCCGATCATTAGAACGAAAGTTACTCAGGGTGATTCGTTTTTTTTTTTTTTGCGGACTGTACATATCAAATTTCATCAAAATCTGTCCTAGAGATAATCAACCAGGTCTGCAAATTCTCTTAATTTCTAACACCAGCGTGGATTGATAATAAATGGTTAGAGATAGTTTCTTTTTATTGCTTCTGCTTCTGAAGATTCAAGTTTTAAAAGTATTATGAAAATAAAGGTGATAAATACAAAACTGTGTTATTAATAGTTAAATAAAATATGGTGTAGTTTTAAAATTACAAAGTGAAAGAAATGAGATAAATGCATTTTTTAGATTTACTTGTGGAATTTTCTCATTCCAATATTTATTTTTCTTGGCTTGCGTTATTCCACGATGTCGAAAAATGGCGCTTCTGCTGTTATCTGATTTTTGAGATTGTGTAGGCTGAACAGCCGCTTCATCTTGTTGAATTACAGAAGGCATCTCGTTAGGTTTCTCTGAAATAGAAGAAAAGATGTAATAAATTGAAGATAAATGGAATGAATATTAAAAATTATCCTCTTCTTAGAACAATTATTTCATCACTTCTTTCAAGCAATCCACACTGTGTAAGCAAGTAGTAAAATAAAAGAGTGATAAATTCCTATACTTTTGCATACGGATGCGCAGAGGTGATGTGTGCATGCTAATTGAAAAGTCTGAATCTTGCAAGCCTCTTGTTTACCACTTGCTCCCCCCAGTGTGTGGCCTGCTTTTAAATATTTGATTTATATAACATTTTGTTTGAAAATATCGTATCTTATTCATGTTATATTTTTCTATAACTGCGTCATCGATTTTTTCAAAGTGAAAATAAGAAAGATTTTCTCTTGATTTTATGTTTTGTCATTTAAAATGCATGTATTTAAACTATTTTTTTCATGTCAAGAGAAAAAGATTTGGACAACTACAGTATCTATTAATTTTTTTTTCAATCCTAAATTATGGAGCAGTGGTGGCTCAGTGGATAAAGCATTCGCCATCCAATGAAGTGAACCGGGTTCGAATCCCAGCGATGGCTGGTAGATACGAATTCCGCCCTCGGCTGTCACCGACCCCAGTGCTGACCTGAAATATCCTCAGTGGTAGACGGATCATGGGCCAGATTCCCCTTGCCATCAGGCTAACAGTGGGAGGTTCTCGAGGTTTTCCTCTCTGTGTAATGCAAATGCGGGTTAGTTCCATCAAAAAGTCCACCACGAAAGCCAATTTCTCCCAATACTTAATGTCTTGTACCTTGTCCTTGTGTCTTGTCCTTTGGATTGGGTTCAAAATCAAAAGGCTACGGAGTTGAACATTAGCAATGGTAAACCCAACAAATTGGGTCGACTGTTCTACGATGGTTATAAAATAAAAATAAAAAAAATATTTTAGTCTATAAATTTCTCTAGATTTAAACTACTTGAACTTTTAAACATTTTAATAGAATTCCAATAGAGTTCAGACTTACTGGAAATTCTCTCCTGAAATCGAAAATCTGATTGTTTTGCTCGCCAAATGTTTATTTATTTAGTTATTAAACATTATAAACAAGTGATACGATCAAAAACGATCCCTGATTGGTAATGACGTCACATGTCCTGAATGTAAACGTGCCGCCTCCATCCGCCAGAGCTTTTTCAATGCTCTTTTAGTTTTGATATCACTTATATCATATGAACATCCTTAGTCAATTATTAGTAAAAATTTTGTGAATTAAATTTGCGGTTTTGAGTGCGTGGGCAAAATGAAAGAAAGATTTTAAAACTTCAAACTGCTTATTTATCACTAAAATGTCTGAAGAAGTGATTATGCACCTCTTTAGAACTAATCAACACTTCTTTTCGGCTGAAATCAGTGGTTTAAAGTTCATAGAAAATATTATTTTATTCCGCTTAATTTTAAGTTAAAATAATGTTCCATTACAAACTGATTACTTATTAAAATCCGTCGCAGATTGGATAGAAATAGTATACATTTAGATATTGGATATATGATTTTAGTATTCGTTATTGCACTGAAACAAATCAGTATTTTCATAAATCTAGTCCATAGAATAATATGAATCCATCTTCGTTAGAATCTATGAGCTATTATTCAAAATTTCGAATAATATATTTTAATTTTGCTTCCTTCATTTATTTATTTAAGTTTTTGTTAAGAGTTGAAGGATTTTCTTTTTATGTATATATTTATTAATGCAGTTTATGTCTTCTGTTTTTTTATTATGTATTAAATACATATTAACGATTATGTTTATCATTCTTTAAATAAATAGGAATTTCGTAACAGATAGAATTAAATTTGAAAATTCTAATTCCTGTTTCTGCAATATAGTATTTACCAAGTATTGTTATTATTAATTTCTCTCCTTATTTTTGCAAACCATTCGTCAGTTTTTGAAATGAAGAATTCTAAAATAGTAAAATTAATACATTTTACATTTTTAATTAAAAAAATTAATTAAAATAGAGGAAAAAGTCTTAGGTTAAGCATTCGGTATCACCAAAGATGAATCAATTCTTTCAAGAATCTGGTTCAATGAAATATATCTGTCCATCATCATCGCAATAATCTACTTATACTTGAGATTTCACTTAATGTTATTTAATTTATCTACATAATTTCAGTTAATATCATTAAGCTAGACGTCTTTGTATCACTAAACCTAAAGAATAATTACAAAAAAATAAACTTACAGAAAATGAAAAGAAATTCCAATGCACATTCTTTATTATTCATTAAATAATTAAAAAATAGACAATAACGTCAATATTTATCTCAATGTTTTTATTCTTTGAGTAAATAGGAATTTTGCAATGGCGAAAAATCACTTTTATTTGCATTTATAAATTTTAATTTCTGTTTCTCTAATGTAGAACTAATTAAATGCATATGCTTGATTTCAAATATCCTTATGGCATAGATTAACGCAATTAAAATAAAGTTAATAAAATCTACTGGAATATGTTAATTCTTTTTATTTTAACTTCAAAATTTTTGTTCGTTGAAAGAATGAATTTAAAGTTTTGCTGGGATCACAAATTTTTTAAAATGCTACTGCTATACCGGAGACAGTTCCCTACTTTGAATTCAAAGAAGAAAAAATAAATAAGAAATATTAATAACTTTCCTATAGCTTAAAATATTCCATATAAAAAATGGTTTCAACATTTCTTTCACCTAACATGAAAATAAATCTTTGAAATGAATTTGAAATATACTTCAAAATTAGGATTAATAAGGTTAAAAAAAGGAATTTTTTTTGTATTTATAACGCATCATTTTAATAAGTAATACCAGACATGCATAACTCATTTTAACACCTTTTTTACTCAACTAAAAAATTTTAAATATTCAGAACTAGAAAATTTCGTCAACTACAGTCGGACCTGATAATAAGATCGTTGTACGGAAAATTCGCTAAATAGAAAATTACCTTTCCAAAAAATACTTAAACAACACAAAACGTAATTAAAATAGCAATTGATACACCTTTATCGTGTAAACTAGTAGATACTATTTATTTTCCAAATCTTAACTATAAAAGAAATCTGCGTGGAAAGCAAGAATAGAGCAAAACATTATCCAGAGTTTCACTATCACGCTACATACATTTTCAAGGAAAAAAAGCTGAATTTATGGATAAAATTACAGCTGCATTTAATATAATAGTAATTTTAAACATACATCACCACATGCGTTTTCATGTTTAATTGCTACTGATAAAATCCGTTCATTTTGTCTGAAATTTTCGTTTGAAATGCAAACAAACAAGGAAAGGGATTTAAATGCTTTCTTTAAAACTTAAGTGGCTTCAAAAATCAATTCAAGGTCATTTCTCCCATAAAATGAGTTAACAAGTTTGAAATGATCTCAAATATTTCGAGGAATAGGGAAAGTGAATCTTAAAGAAAAAATCGTTAAATAGAAAATTCATTTCGCTATTTGGAAGTAATTTTATGAAGAAATTTCTAAAATTGGTTCCTCGCAAAAAATTGCAAAATGGAAGATCGTTAAACAGAACTGTATTAACAGTGGGTACCATTGAAATTTATGATTATAAAAATACCTTATATTAAACCCACATTTTCATTAAGCTACATTATGGCACAATTTATTGATAGTTATTGACCATCTAAAATGGTTGGATATAATGATGAAAATTCAAACGTCTTCACAGCACAGCGGTTGTAAATGAACAGCAGATGGACAGTCCGTGAATAATCAAAAGACTTCAGGTAAAAACGAAAGTTAAAAATAACTTAATAAATAGGAGAGTAATAAAATATTTTCTGGACATTTTAAGGGATTCTGCATTCATTAAGATTTTTTAAAAAAAACTGAGTCAGAAGAAGGGTAGCCTGTCATCTAATTTTAGAGACGTTCTTGTAACAGAGCAGTTTAAAAAAATGACTCATGCATGAAAAAGGATGACTTGGTTTTAATTTAGAGATATTTCTACGACAAAACACTCCAATTAAAGCTTGAGCAAAAGGAAGCTAATCTGAGCTCATTTATCAAAAGAAATGTCATTATGTTTTTCTAAAAAAGTAGCTCATTTATGAAAAAAGTAATTCTAGAGCTCTCCCTAAAAGGGAGTATTTTAAAAGTCATTTAACTTAAAAATAATACGCTTATCATCGAATTATTTTTAGAAGTGACTTTAAAATATACATTTATGAATGTGTTATCTTTTCCACTAATGATTATTTTTCTCGAATGAAGAAGTGAAATTTTAGTTTCGAAGAGTTTCTGAATCTGTTCTTTTTATTAAAAAACTACGAAATCAAATTCAATTCAGTCTGCAAAAGTTATTTAATTGAACTGACACGTCGTTTTAAATTTTCACATACGACTGAGAAAAGTGAAAGAGTCTTCAAAATAAAAACAAATGATTAAAATTTTTTATTTATCACATTTATGATTCTTAGTTAACTTTATCCATGGAGAATAATCTATAAATATTAAGGTGTTTATTCTCTCCAAGTAGATTTAATGTACTTAAGTTTTGTAATTACCTTTAAATAAATTTTTAAAAATTTTTCCTTCATACTTACGGTTTTCAGTTCGAAGATTTTCAAGTTCCTTAACCTCTTTGTCTGGAATCTGAGAAAAAATTTTAAAATGATTCGAATACTATCATTTTAGACGAAAATATGTCACACTACTACAATTCTAACAATCAAGCTCTAAATAAAACTTAGTAAATCGAGTGTTTTTGTTAATGAAAATTGCCCTCAGAACTAATAGCATGCACCATTCAAGTGGAAGAATTCTGCCGATTGATGAAATATTTAAAAAAATTTCTCATAAACGCTTTCTTAATGCTTTTCTTAGTTAGAAAAACTAACTAAGTTTGCATCAGGAAGTTTTCCTAAAAAGTTATTCAATTTTTAAGCTCAACTATTAAATTTTCTTTCTAATTTTAGTGCATAAATCGATCAATTTGATAACTAGTTGTGATTCACCATAATGATTTTCACTTGAGTCGTGGTAGCTCAGGGGATAGAGCGTTTGCCTTCCAATGAGGTGTGCAAATTCCAGCGATGGTTAGATGATATGAATTCCTCACCCAGTCGCACCGATCGAAGTGCTGACGTAAAACATCCTCAGTTGTTGACGGAATCATGGGTTAGATTCCCATTGCCGTCAGGCTAACCATGGGAGGTTTTCCTCTCCATGTAACACAAATGCTGATTAGTTTCATCAAAAAAGCCCTCCACGAAGGCAAATTTCTCCCACTACGATCAAGGAGTTTCCTTGTCTTCTGGATTGGGTTAATTAATAAAAATCCTCTTCATTCAAATTCTTTAATGAACTAATGTATAAGCACATTAAAAAAAACAACCAGAAAACAATTTTTTATTTCTTCTAACTAGCCTTAATTTTAAAAAGGAAACATTTGCACTATGAATTAGACTGGATTTAATAAGATAAGTATTATTTGTGATTGTTTAAAATTAAAAATAAATAATATTATTTATATATAAACTATAATTTTTTGTTTAATGAATTTTCAGAGACTACATCTTCTTAATCCCCTTGTGGATGCCCATCCGTGCAATATTAAAAAATGCATATGTGATCTAATTTTATATATGCCCCGGGCATGTTGGGTAATTTAATTTTCGAGCCGGGATATAAATACATGAAGAAAACACTTTAAAGTGAATAAAAATAATTTAAATGTTTACTTACTTGGTGTTGCTCACTATCATTTTCTGTGAAAAAAAAGAGAAAGGATTTTTTTTAGTAAAAATATAAAGTGCAAAAGATCAATTATTTGTTATTTTAAAATATTAAGTCAGAAATAAGAGAAATATTGAAAAAAAATGTGCCGACAAATGTAAATTGTGTTGAATTAATACCATGATTTATTTTTTAAGATGAATCTTGAAAGGTTGTTTCATAATCATTGTTTTTTATATGTTTTTTTCCTAAGAATTTGAAATTAACTCTAAATTCGTTGAATCATTATTCAAGAAAAAATGAAAACCACTTTGTTTGGCTGGGGAAAATGATAGATATCACTTTTTAACAGTGTTTTTTAAAGCTGTTTCAAAAAGAGAATGAAAAAAGTCACAGTTTTAACTTGAGGCAAGCTATAAATTTAATTTCCGTATACCTTTTCACTCTAAAGAAATTCAGGGTCTTTAGAACGGACAAATAACTTAAATACTTCAAAACTAATGAAAAAGGCCAATTTAGCAAGATTTTTTGAGCTAGATGAAAATTGTCAAAATCAAAGAATTAATTTTTCTATATGTTTATGAGTGCAGATAATGTAGCGTTCCAACGCTACATAACTTTTTAAATCAATTAGATCACAAACATTTTCATAACACAGTTCTCGATACTGACTTTTAGCGCCATTTTCAGAATTAGCATAGAGAAGACGAATTGAATATAGGAATGCCATGAAATTCACAGTATTTCTAAAAATGGCATATTATTCGCGAGGACGACAGAGTCATTGAAAAACTGCCGTAAGTCTTCTTTGCCAATCATGCAGGTTTTGATGTCGCAGTATTCGTTTGATTTCGATAGCGCTTTTCCCTTTAAATACTAATTTGCGTTGAGACAAAGTTTAGTTTGCAAATTATCATTTAGATTCAAATTTCGAAGTAAGCATATTGTTAACAAAGTAATTAGTGCTTTATAGTAATTTTAAGTGCAATGCTAATTTTAAGTTTTTACTTCCTTTCAAACTATGTAATTGTTTACTATCTTTTCCCCATTTTTGTTTATTATTACATAACTATTGTTTATTATTACATAGGCCGGGATATCCTGGTTGGTAGGGTATTCGAAGATTGGTAGGTAAGTCGAAGATTTCGTGGGTTCGATCCGTGCCGGTCGAAGACTACCTGTGTAGTAAATGGTGACTGGTGCACGTTAAATCTCTCGGGTCACAAAGTCTTTCATATTCTCATAACAAATTATACCTCTGGGGGAACTGAATTAGAGATTGATCGTTCTTTGGTTCCGGTCAAAATTGTGGATGAATGAAAGTGTCCGCCCTATAAACGGGTGTGACAGAACTCGGCCATAGATAGCAGAGCTGCGAAACAAGAACAATCAGACCCCTTGCGTTGATGGCCTACGACAGCAACATTACTCCTGTCGTTTAATTATTTACTGTGTTCATTGTTAACACACGTTTAGCCAAATGGTCTTAAAGGGCTACAAAGAGTCTTCAGCGCTCCCTAGTCTTCAAAACACCATCCATAAAATTATATTTTTATGTTTGTGATGACATCAAACGACAAGAGCATTCATCATAAGAAATGGGCAAAATAGTAGGGGAGGGTGAAAAGGATTTAATAAAAGCATTTTAATCTCATATCCCCAAGATAAATAATATAAGGTATTCTTACTTCACAAGAAATGAAAGAAGCAAAAAGGTTCAGTGATATCCCATGGGTGGGGTAACAAAGTGTCACAAAATTGAAACAAAAAATAAGATACATTTTAACATTGGATTATAGCATATTTTCGAATATAAGTTGAAGAACAAAGTGAAAGTTATTATATATAGATGGCGCTTTTTAAATTTTAATCTCAGTCACTGACTTCTCTATTATAGTTGAGGCCAGCAAATGTAATCATCAAACATAGTTTGTACTCCAGGTACTTTTGAAAAGGCTTGCTTTTCAATCACAGCACACAAGACAAATGCTGACATTTGGAAAGACTTTTCTTCCATTTTTACCAGGTCCCGCTGTGAACTGATCGTAAAGACACGTTTCCCAGTAGAACACCGAAGTCGAGCATCACTGACTGCGCTCAGTAAGTGGGTGGATGACCAATTTGATCAGCCTGCATAGGGACCGAGGGTGCGCGGTATCAGTCCTCGTTAAACTGTTTTACCGTAAAGTGTTCGACTTCGCTTGCAGGTCGTCGGGCTACCTAAGTGGAGGAGCCATCCCCTCTGCAGAGGATCAAAATTGTGATGGCATGTCTTCGGATCATCTTCTGGGATGCTTCCCAGATCGTCGTCAATAGTCCATTGCGCAGCTCTAGTGCGACGTAAATAAAATACCTACTAACCTAACACTTTTACCAGGCAATTTTCCCCACTCTTGACTGCCTTCCCTTAAATAAATTATTCGAATTATGGACCCTTGAGCCGTGATGGCTCAGGGGATAGAGCGTTCGCTTTTCAATGGGGGGAATCGGGTTTGAATACCACCGATGGCTGGTTGATGCGAATCTGTATCCGACTTGCACCGACCACAGTACTGACGCAAAATATCCTCAGTGGTAGACGGATCATGGTTCCTTTGCAGTCAGCTAACCGTGGGAGGTTCTCATGGTCTTCCTCTCCATGTAACGCAAATTCTGGTTAGTTCCATGAACAAGTCCTCTACAGAGGCAAATTTCTCCCAATAGTTAATCCAGGAGTTCCTTTGTCTTCTAGATTAGGTTCAGAATTACAAGGCTACGGAGTTGAACATTGGTAGTCGTAAACACATAAATTGTGTCGGCTGTTCAACGACGGTTATAAAATAAAATTAAATTATGGAGCCTTATGTCACATTAAGTACGGTGAAGTTATAATACTTAATGGTTATATAAAATGAATCGAAAATTAATACTTATTTCAAGCAGGCGAAGAATGGCAAAATTGCCTTTCTTCGCAAAATGTTTCAAATAAATAGCCATGACTTAATGTCAATTTATTTGAATGATTATTTTCTTACGTGAGAAATGGTTTTTCATTAATTGTTTAAATCCCTCATTACTTTTAATAACAATGACGGGCATAAATTGCCATTTATATCAATTGCTTTACTCCAGTGATACCCAAGATAACCCAAGTTAAACTTTTTAATGGTTTTTCCATTGATGGACCAACATAATCTTGATGGTAACCATCAAGAATTCCATAATGAAACATTAAATTTTTGATGGTAACCGTCACCCCAATGTAGCAATTCGGACTGATTTATGATGGTTCAACATAAAAATAGCATACTGTTTTGATGGTTTGTTCATGTTAAACCATTAGAAATTTCCATCATAGTTTCTTAGAAATCAAATATTGGAATGATCTTGGAACAACCATCATCCCAATATAGGAATGCGGACTGGTTTATGATGGTTCAGCATAAAAATAGCATATTGTTTTGATGGTTTGTTCATGTTAAACCATTAGAAATTTCCATCATAGTTTCTTAGAAATCAATTATTAGAATGATCATGGAACAACCATCATCCCAATGTAGAAATGCGGACTGATTTATGATGGGCCAACATAAAAAAAATTGTTTTGATTGTATATTCCTGAGAACAAACAAGAATTCCCATTAAATCATCATAATGTATGACTGGAGCCCAGGGCCGGCTTATGCATGTCGCGGCCCCTAGGCAATGCTCGTCTCGGCCCCCCCCCTACCATCTTCTAACTTCCTAATATATTTTTTCGCTAACACAACACTTTATTCATAATTACGCTGTTTTTTACTACATAGGTATATTATCACATTATTCAATAAAAATATTGAATCGAACGAAAAGAATATAAGTAATTAATATATGCATTTAAAAAAAAATCATACAATAAGCTTAAATATTAACTCTTCTAACTTTTTTTCTATATAATCGTTCAAGACATCCTGAAAGTTAATCTTTTCCAATACATCATTTTCAATTGCCATTATGGACAATAAATTTAAACGGTTTTGAGACATAGTTGAACGAAGACAGTTTTTAATTAATTTCAATTTGGAAAAGTTTCGTTCACCAGTGGCGTTTGTAATCATTAGACTTCTATATATTTGCAAAGCTGTCATTACATTCGGGAAAGTTGATTGTGCCATGTTACCAATAATCAGTTTGTAAGACTCTTCGGCAGGCACAATTTTTTTCCGGCGTCTTCTAATTGTAAGATGAAGTATTTATACTGCACCATTTCGTCTATAAACTCAGGCTCAATGTCCTCGAAATAATGTTCCTTAAACTTTGTGCAAGCCTGTCTAATTTCAGCGTCGGATTTTGTCGAGAAATCTGTTAGAAACCCAAACAGATCATTTATTTCCCGGTAAGCTTCTAGGCGCCGCGACAGTTCTGTACACAGCATGTCTAGTACTGGCAAATATGTATCAACTTTTAATTTCTCTTTTCCTCTGAGCACAACTT